TTTTTTGTTATAAATTTATTAAATAATTTTATTGGGGTGATATTAAAATTTAAATAACTTTTAATAATTTTTGTCATTTATTTATGATTAAGTGATCCATTATTAGTGATTAAAAAATTAAGTTACTTTAGGGATAACAGCGTAATTTTTTTGGAGAGTTCTTATCGATAAAAAAGTTTGCGACCTCGATGTTGGATTAAGATTCATATTTAAATGTAGAAGTTTAAATATTAAGTCTGTTCGACTTTTTATTCTTACATGATCTGAGTTCAAACCGGTGTAAGCCAGGTTGGTTTCTATCTTTGATTTAATAAAATATTTTAGTACGAAAGGAATTAATATTTATTTTTAAGAAATTATTTTATGAATGAATTTAATTACTATTTTGGCAGATTAGTGCAATAAATTTAGAATTTATTTATATAATTTAAAAATTATAAGTAGTACTTGTTTTTAAATGAAATTATTATATCTTTATTAAGAAGTTTATTATTAATTATTTGTGTTTTAGTGGGTGTAGCTTTTTTAACATTGTTGGAACGAAAAGTTTTAGGTTATATTCAGATTCGTAAAGAACCAAATAAAGTGGGTTTTATTGGAGTAGTTCAACCTTTTAGTGATGCAATTAAATTATTTACTAAAGAACAGACTTATCCTTTAATGTCAAATTATATTTGTTACTATTATTCTCCTATTTTTTCATTATTTTTATCTTTGTTGGTGTGAATATGCATACCTGTTTTAAGAAGATTGAATAGTTTTAATTTAAGTTTGTTATTTTTTTTAAGAATTACAAGAATAGGAGTGTATACTGTAATAATTGCAGGATGATCAAGAAATTCAAATTATTCTTTATTAGGAGGTTTACGAGCTGTTGCTCAAACTATTTCTTATGAAGTAAGATTGGCTTTAATTTTACTATCTTTTATTTTTTTAATTGAAAGATATAATATAATTGATTTTATAAAATTTCAATATTATATTTGGTTTTTATTTTTTTTATTTCCTATGGGTTTTATTTGATTAAGAATTTGTTTAGCGGAAACTAATCGTACTCCATTTGATTTTGCTGAGGGGGAATCAGAATTAGTATCTGGATTTAATGTAGAATATAGAAGAGGAGGTTTTGCATTAATTTTTTTAGCGGAGTATTCGAGAATTTTATTTATAAGAATATTATTTTGTGTAATTTTTTTAGGATGTAATTTATTTAATTTAATATTTTTTTTCAATTAGTTATTATTTCTTTTTTATTTATTTGAGTTCGGGGGACTTTACCTCGATTTAGATATGATAAGTTAATATATTTATCTTGAAAGTGTTATTTACCATATTCATTAAATTTTTTATTATTTATAGTTGGGTTAAAAATATATTTATTTATATGAATTATTTTTAGTAAAGTTAATAGAAAATTTTAATTCTATCTTATATTTTCAAAATATATGCTTATTTCAAGCTAATTAACTTACATTTAATTTAGTAAGTTATCTCATCATTTATTAATTAAAGGGTTAATTAAAAAGTATAAAAAATAAATAAATGTTAGAATTTGTCCAATTATAACATAAGGTTCTTTAACTGATCGAGCTTCAATTCAAGTTAATAAAATTACAGTGGATAGTATAATTCAAAATAAAAATTGGTTAATGGGATAAAATTGTAATCCTTGAAATTTGCTTATATTATAAAAAGGTATAATTATTAAAATAGCAATAGATGTAACTAATGCAATTACTCCTCCTAATTTGTTAGGAATTGAACGTAAAATTGCATAAGCAAACAGAAAATATCATTCTGGTTGAATGTGAATAGGAGTTACTAAAGGATTAGCTGGAATAAAATTATCTGGGTCTCCTAATAAATAGGGATTTATTAAAGTTAATAGAATAAGTCTTATAATTAGAATAATAAATCCGGTAATATCTTTAAAAGTGAAATAGGGATGAAATGGGATTTTATCAATACTTGAATTTAGTCCTATTGGGTTATTTGATCCTGTTTGATGAAGAAATAAAAGATGAATTATAGTTATTGCTAAAACAATAAAAGGTAAAATGAAGTGAAAAGTAAAAAATCGTGTTAATGTTGGATTATCAACTGCAAATCCTCCTCAAACTCATTGTACTAAATCAATACCTAAATAAGGAATAGCAGATAATAAATTAGTAATTACAGTTGCTCCTCAAAAAGATATTTGTCCCCGTGGTAATACATATCCTATAAAGGCTGTTGCTATTACTAAAAATAAAATAATTACTTCAACTAGTCAGGTTTGTGTATATTTATAAGAATTGTAATAAATTCCTCGTCCAATATGAAGATAAATACAAATAAAAAAAAATAAAGCTCCATTAGCATGAAGAGTTCGTAATAGTCATCCATAATTTACATCTCGACAAATGTGTCTAATTCTATTAAAAGCTATATTAATATCTGCTGTGTAATGTATAGCTAAAAATAATCCAGTTAAAATTTGAATGATTAAACATAATCCTAAAAGAGATCCAAAATTTCATCAAGAAGAGATATTAATTGGAGTTGGTAAATCAATTAAAGAATTATTTATAATTTTGAAAAGTGGGTGTTTAATTCATATTGGTTTATTCATTTATTTTATAAATCGAATTGGTCCAAAAAATATATTAGTAATTTTTACAATTGCAATTAAAGTAATTAAAAGATAATTTATTAAAAAAATTGTTATAAAATTTGTAGGGTAATTATAAAGTTTAGTTAAAATATATGAATTTTCTTTAATTATAATTTTTAAATTAATTAATAATATTGATTCATTATTTGTAAATATATCTATATTAATATAATTGTAAAAAATAATTCATAAAAATAAAATTCTAAAATATAATGTTAATTGAAAATGAAAATATTTCATTTGAGGCGATTGCTGTTACATAAATAAATAAAACTAATATCCCTCCTAAAAAAATCAAAAATAAAATATAGGAGAATCAAAATGTTTTTGAGATTAATCCTGAAATTATTGAAATTAAAATGGTTTGAATTAATAATATTAATCCAATAGATAATGGGTGATTTAAAAATAAAAATGTAATACTTGAAATTAGTATTATAGATAAGATTAATATATGTAAGATTTCAAGAAATAGTTTAATTAAAATATAAATTTTGGGAATTTATGATAAAGAATTATTTCTTTTTTCTTGAGAGTTTTAAAAGATTATTCTTATTTTTGATTTACAAGACCAATGTTTTTATTAAACTAT